TGCCCGTTTTTGGTCAAAAGATATTTAGCCGCCTGCACTCCTATTTTTATCAGTTTTATACTAATTTATGCAATGCTTTTGAGACAAAATAAATTTTAAAAATTGCTATTAACTGGTATGATAAGTGTATACCATACATTTTATATTTCCACTTGGTGCTAATCTAAGCCAGCACTTCTTAAAAAAACCTTTTCTACTTGCGATCCCCTTTGGCCTAAGAAATGTATTTCTGACCCCAAGTGTATAGGTATAGGTATAACATCAATCATTTACTGATGATAAATCAGAATTTACAAGGCTTGCTTAACAGGCTGATTTTCCCCTTTTATGAAACAGAGCAGAAGCATTTTCTGCAGAGTCCATCCTAAACTCTGAGAATGCTGCTAACAGATTTGTGTAATGTCTAAAATATCCACTAGCTGGTGTTCAGAATCCTTTTATTGTTGCCAATTTTTGCACAACCTCAACATTGGCAATTGTTCTCCAGGTGCTTTGGACTTCAACTCCCAGAAATCCTTGCCATCTTATCAGCTGTTAGGATTTGTGGGAGTTGAAGTCCAAAACACCTGGAGACCCATTTTACTACATTTTAAGTTTTTTAAAAAATATCATTTGTTGATGTTGTCTGTTCACTTGTACATGGTTAAATTTATTTTGTACTATTTTTATGCTTATGTATTTCTATTTTATGTGTGGCACCCTAGAGTGCTTTTGTGAGCCGCCCCAAGTCTCGTCAGGGAGATGGTGGCAGGGTATATATGAAGCTTATTATTTATTATTATCATTGCCCTGAATTTGCCACCCAATTTTAGTAGTGAACAAGCCAATGAGATACGAGGGATAAAAAGAAATATCAGCTACTTCTCCTATGGATACTTTTGACTTCTACTTTTTTCATATCTACTCAAGTGAAGGCCCATTCCATTACATGCTTCCATGTAATAAATTTGCTTGTTAAAATTCTTCAACATAGAAGCACAGCACTTACAGGGTGGTTGCACTGTACAGTAGCTTATATATTCATTGGCCAAATGCATTGCTTTCACTGTAAAAAGTTTCCCATTGACCACTAGGTGTCCTGTTAACAGCTATGAGTTTCCTTTCTAGATTTGAGCGTGCTCCTGAAAGAAAGGTTGGGTGACCACCTTTCTTTTCTTATTAATGCAAGTTTGCACCTTTAAGTCTTTATAGCTTGTGCTTCCCCAGTTCTCAGAAATATTTATATACAAAGCAGCTCAGTTATCAAAATGTAGTCAGGTATATTTATATGCCTGCATTTGTGAGATAAAGTAGATGCTTGGCAAGAAATATAAAAGATACTGACACAGACAAGATTCAGACTGATATCGTTCCAAAATGACTGCAGAAGTTCCCACAATAGTGTTTATTTCATACAGTCATAATTGCTCAAAAGATACAATGTCCTTGTTTATCGAAACACTTAAATGATAATTTGCAATGTGTGGTACCATTGCTTATTTGCTGTATGCACTTCTATCTGACCAAAGTCTTTAAACCCATAAATGATAAATATATCATGACTACCCTTAGGCAACTGATAACTGCCACTATAACACTATAGTGTTATAGTGGCAGCTATGTTGAAAGGGCTACTACAGGCTTTATGTGGCGGCTGTGATACTCTGGCATTAGTGTTTGCTGTAGTTGCCACAAGAAATATGAAAGAGATATCCACTCCTAAATATAGCAGAAAAAGCAGCATTTATATAAAAGAGAAATGTCAGTTGTAAGGGGAAATCTGAAGAAGCCAATTTCGTTTTTTTAAAAATGTGTGGAGGCAGGGAAGGGGATAGCATAGAGGTGGGCTAGGCCACTCAGCTGCCTCCCCCCCTCAAGCAACCTCAGTGTGGGATTTTAGGTAGTCTTCTGATTTTTAAAAATGGGACAGGGATTCAGGGAACTGCCATCAGGGTTCAGGGGCACTGCTAAAGGGTTCAGGGAGTTCACGTGGCCTGTACCTTCTCCTCCCTTTAACCAGACCATTATGGAGATGGGTGTAAATGGCAGGCTGGAATGGATTCCTCAGTGGGAACACACGTACACTATACAACAATATTTTAAAGTGAGGTTGTGGCTACAGAAACACGAAGAAAAGATATTCAGTGCACATCTTATAATTTAGTGGCATTGCCTGAGATGTCCATCTCTCAGTATTCTCCTATCTTCATTTATTTTCTCATAGCTTGTTTTTCACTAACTCATATGCAAAAAAAATGACATTTGTGTTTTGGCTCAATATGTATAAATTGAAAGAAACATGGTGATCACTTATGGTATCCATACAGGAAATTAAGGTAATTTCTATTTTTGACAGAATTTAAGCTATCATTTCTTTGTTTTCTAGAGCTAGTTTATGTTAATCCACGTTCCAAGCTTAGCTTCATTCTGCTCAGAACACAAGAAAAGTAATTATTCACATGCCATAGCATATGAGTTGCAAGAGGTTTTAGTCTACTGTAAAGCAGTAGGTATTTTGAGGGTTTTTGCTGACTGGAGATTTTGAGACTTGTAGACCCTAAAAGTAACTGTTTCAGTATCTCAATATGCGTCAAGGCAAAGAAGGTGAATAAACCTATTTTTTAAAGTCCATTGTTGATACTGTTTGCAGAGAGTGGTATCTGAGTGCCAAGATCTAGAAGAAGATGTGGACTGCAGCTCATCAGCAGAACAAACTCAAGGCACCACATAGTATTTGGCGTAATTGCTACCTAAAACCCTGGAAAAATAAAACCAGGCATTGTAGATTTGTTTCGCCTTTTCCCCCCTCTAGATAGTTTGAACTATAAGACCTGATATTCCTGACTCTGAGCTATAGTTGATAGGATTTGAAGTCATGAATATCGGGAGGGCATTTCATTGGCAAAGGTGATTCTAACTAGGTGACCTGTCATTTTCATTTATTCAGTTTCATATTTGGCTAGTTGATTAGAATAATTATTTTGCTTGCTTATATAAAATTGATTCCTTATCAAATAAAAAGGTTATATTAAAAAACAACTACAACAATGCTTCCTCTGTAAGCCCCCCCCCCCCCCCCCCCGTACAGTTTTTAAATACAGACTTGGTCCTGTCTTTGTATTATTCATACATTTCTAAAAGGCTTTATTTCTAGTAACCTGAAGAATTACACTCCAGAAATAATATTTGTAGCTCAAATGAGTCAACACTAGCATCATCAAATGCATTGGCAACAATGTTCTTGTCTCTATTTCTAGCGGGGTTTTCCCCCTTAGAATATAAAGAGCTAGTTGGCTCAGTTTTGTTGGTGTTTACAGTGTCTCCACAGGCAAAATATGGGAACACCGTAACTCTACTATCATCCGGAGTCACTGACAGATTTTAAATAGTATACTGCTTGACCACTGCCATTTTTGACAAGATTGGCCCCCTAGTTTGTTATAATTTAATGGGATTTTCATATAGCTTTTCATTTATCCTAATCATAAAGCTACCTTGAGTCCAGATTCAGCTGTACTTTGGCTTCCAGCTTCCGTTGAAGTCAGTCATAAAAACCTTCATCATAACATGCCTTAGTGTAGCATGCAAATACATGGTCCCCTAGAGCACCTTTGCAGAGTGAATGTATTAACGTATAAAATGTTTCTTTGCTGCCATTGGGGTGAAAGATGTAATGGAGTCTGCATTCCTTAAGCAATACAGGGGCACTATATTTTAAAAGAAACATGCTGTTAAGAATTTTTCGGCTTTGATTGTCCCATGGCAAGAAGGTGGTGACTTTAATATTAAAAATAAATAAATAATCTCACATAGTAAATCTGATCTGTTTTTTAAGGCAGAAGTGTTTGGGGTGATCCTTTTCAACCTAAAGGTTTTAACTTGGAACCAGTGTCAAAAAGTTATATTTTAAAGATGCTGTTAAACTTTTCTCTGTGTTGTGAGACAGGTTGTTCCAGGCTCTGTTCTTACTTGAATCTTTGGCCATTTCTGTCTTTAGAGGCTGATCTATAGCTAAGGTCTTCTCAACATTTTCAGAATGAGTTTCCAAATCAAAATGGCCCATTTCCAACATGGTGCTTGAGCTCTTCTATTTTGTAATGAAATGTTTCTGCAAACCTTGTTTAATCTAAAATAATCTTCTGAAGCTTTTATAGAATGATTTTAAAGGTTTTTAGTTGCTTTATATAAAAGAAGTCTTTAAGTGTTGTTTAAGATTTAAGAATGTACTAGGAAAGTTGGAGTTGTCTCTGGGAAAAATAGTCTTAATTTATGTTGACCTTTCTTTCCTTTGAGTATTTAGCCGGCATTCAATAAAATTTTGATGACTGCTCTTTAGAAGACAGCTGTATGGTGTATAGTATTATAAATATTCCGCTTTCCATTCCTAGTGTTGCCATTAACAGCTGGGCATCCAGTTCAGCAGAACAGATTTTACAGACGAAGCCTGGCATGTTCCTGAATCAGTATAGTGAAGAACATGAGAAAATAGTTTCTTATGGTTTGGGGACCTGTAAAGGCATTGAGCATCTGTTCCCTAGTTAAGTCATAGTCTAGCAGCATTGAATCATGTTAAGAGCTAAAATGATGAGAACTACTTTTTTCACCTTGAATGTACTAGTGTTTAAATGCCTAGTGTGTTTTTGTGTGTGTGACTGGCACAGAAATTGTATCATGTATACAGAAGGTAAGTTATTGGGAACTTGTGTGCAGTTATATTCATTATTAATGGTTTATAGGAAACAAAATATGTTTTTAACATTGTTTTTACTTTGTGACATTGGTATGCCAGTTGAACTGTTTCCTATTAGTCTGCATAATTGTAGAAGTGTTGTTTGGGGTTGGAATCTAATAAGGTTTCAAAGTAGTGCTGATAAACTGGTTCATACATTTGCTTTGTCTGTGCTTAGTTTCTGTAAGTGTGATAAAAACCTTAAACATAAGCCATGTGGATAGATAATCACTGAACTGGCGCCTTTTTTTTAGAACATTGTTTTGAAGTTTTTCTCATCTTTCTCTTCTAGTGCCAAGAGAGCTCTGAAGCTGGATAAACCTACTGTGGAGAAAGTAAGTCTTTGTCTGTATGTGGGTTGTTCCTATGATTAAATAATGTTCTAGGATATATTCATTTACCTCTAGGATCAGTAGTTCATTGAGACTATAGCTTGCCAGTCTGGAATACAGCTCACTGAAGATGAGGAAAAATTAATTGCTGGGCATCTTAGGGTTAAAAACTATGATTATATATTTCTGCTATTTTAAGTTCATTGGCATGACACTACTGGCTATAAGTGAAGGACTAGCAGTGTCATTTTTTAAAAAAATAAACCTGTTATTATGTACTTACCCTTATCAATTAGTGAGTGTGTTAGGGACCTTTCTGAAATCATTATTAGAAATTAGTTCTATAATTGGTGAAGCAAATGCACTGCCCTCTCACTGTACATATAACAATATGGGATTATGATGGTGCTATAATCTGCATATTATAAACTGCAAAATTGAAATGAAAACATTAAAGACATTTTATGTTGAAACTGTAATTACCTCTCTCAGCTAATCTAACACAATGAAACAATAAAATACTAACACTGCAATAAATTTTTCCTACAGTTATCACAATAAAAATAAAATTGACTGTTGCTTCAGTTTCTCTTCCTTTTTGTAAAATGTGGTTATCTCATATTTTCAGTACATTATGTCATGACATATGCTAATTTATTGTCTTCCCATACCAACTGTAGGTGTTACTATGAACATTGATGTAGACGGGTTGGAGAGATAGGTAGTCCAAAAGGAAATTTAAAAAATCGTTGGGGAAGTGTGTATACGTAAATAGCTGGTAAATAAAATCATCCCCAGTTTTGTCTGCACACACCAGTGGTTTCTTTATAGATAGTAGCCTTTAGAGGTCTCGGTGTTATTTAGCAAAATTAGAAACTTGGCAGTGTTAAAAAAGATTCTCTGTGTTGTTTGTATTTAAGCAAAGGTGACAAAATACAGTAGTGGCACTAACAAAAATCATTAGCAATTTAATTAGCAATTTAGTTTTCCATTACCCACCTTGTTGTGCTCTGAATACAGCTGTGACTGTAATTTTGCATCTGCTTCCTTGCTCAGAGTAACATTTCTGGAGGTGAGCGTTCCAGCTTGAAATTACTCTGTTCCACCCTAAAGCTGTTTTTTTCCTCCTGAAATGAAAATTAAAAAGGAAAAAAATGCATGTTTTGAGAATACAATTTAGGATGCTTGCAGTGTCAAAATATCTCTACTGAAACTTGTGCTTTTATTTGGTTTTCAAAAATCCGGTGACAGTACTGATCACTAATGCTGTTTATGAACTAGGAAATCATCCTTTTGCTTTGTGTGAATGCTGCATAAAGATTCTTAAAATAATTGAAATCATTAAAAAATGAAAAATTGCAGATTTGTATATTACTTGAAAATGGTTCACGTGAATAATTTGAATATGTTAGTAGGAAAGTATGCATAGAGGAAGAGTGTAGCTCAAATCAAGAGGAAGAGTAGAAACTTGTAGTTGTAACATTTAGAATTGTTATTAGTGTCTGCTTCCTTCTCTATCTTTTTTGCCCTGTTGTAGGGTCTGATTCTCTTATTAATAACAACATCTTAAAATGGCAGGAAGAATTTTCAAGTACAATGTTTTCAGTATTTGAAAATTATGGAATCAAGATTTTCATCAGCATGAGAATACAAAGAACAAAAGCTGAGTTAATCAGTAGAACTGTGATATTTTGCAATTATATTCAGTTCTGTCACTTCACTAAAATGTTTGAACAAAAAATGGACTCTGGCCTCATATAATTGTAAAATGGTTAATTCTTTAGTGCAGTCATTTATAATGATTAATCACTGTTGTTATGTTAAAAGAAGCATTCCTATTCTATGTAAAAGGGTGCCTCTTCTGAGATTTGTATCTCCTTCGACAGATATGTGGATAACAAGTATATTTTCCCCTTGGTAGCATAATTTATTTCTGTGCAAATGTATTCTGATTTACATGCATAGATATTCCATTATGTTCACTACAGCTTATTCTAAGGTGTGTTTAGAATTGCAGCCTAAATGGGTTGATGTTTTGTTAATGATATATGATTTTGGAAACCATACACACACATGAAGGGTGAAAGGCAGTGACTATAAACAGTATCACTGATTTTGTTTGTTTTGCAGTGCAGGGTTTATCTGCATGTCTGGGGTTGCTCTTTTAAAATAATAATAATAAGAAACAGTTTTACATGTGTTATGCAATATGTTTTTTCATGTTAGAAGCAACTTGAGAATCTGGAAGTCACTTCTGGTGTGAGAAAGCTGGCCTTCTGCAAGGACATTGCTCAGGGGACGCCTGGACGATTGATGTTTTACCATCCTATGGGAGGCTTTTCTCATGTCCCCACATGAGAAGCTAGAGCTTGACAGACAGGAGCTTACCCCGCTCCCTGGATTTGAACTGCCAACCTTTCTGTCAACCAGTCCTACCGGCACAAGGGTTTAACTCATTACGCCATCGGGGCTCAATAAGTGTGCTTGGGTCTTTCATATTAGCTGCTTTGCAAATTCATTGCAAGCTTGGAACTTGGATCCAGAACCACATTTTATTGGAAATGATGACTTGTACAAATTGTACATGCTCACTAGTAAGTTAAATGAGTAAAGAATTGAACCATTAATTAACCTTCAGTTATTCCAGTAGGGCTTCTATATCTAAACTTTCTAATAATATATTTGATCTTATATGTCACTTCTTTCTAAAACATCAATATTTGGTGATATAATAACTTCCATTGCCAGAATCCCTGATCATTAGCAATGCTGACTGGGGCTTCTGGGAGCTGAAATCCATTGACAGTTGGGGATCCATGAAAAGCCCCCAAAACCACTTGATGGAGGCTGAGCATGTCCATTGACCATGATCTTAGGTAGAAACCTTTGATGGTGAATGGACAGCAGGAATGTAGTGTTCTGACCAGGTGTGTTCTACATTTTATGAAATGAGCCTGGATTGTTAATTTTTGGATAGCAGCTGTCAATATCTCTCAGCCAGCATGGCTTCTAGCCATATTGGCTTCGGCAGTCAGGCCATAGTGGCTTGGAAATGCCATACAGTGCACTTCACTACAACATTTTGAATGCAGATTCTACTTTTTTAAATTAAATTGTATTTAAGTCTCTTGGGAAAGCTGGTTTGAGAGTCGAGGTATAAATAACCTGGAGGAAAAGCAATAAATCATTCTGCTAGATGTTCTTTACATGAAGTATCTTGGCTCAATTCCATGCCATACTGATAACAGTTAAATGAAGGGATCCCATTGATGAAGTGATCATGTGTGAAACCACCACCTCAGTTCTGTATCTCCCTGGGGCCTTGCAGGGCTGAAATGGTTGTTTCCACATGATTCTTTCATCCAGGCATTGTTGATGTCACGTAGAATCCACTGGAACCAGAAATGATGCACACTGGTCATGTTTACTATGGACTTTTTTCTGGATTAGCATAAACATGCCACAGACCACTCAAATGAATGACTGTATTAGAACTTGTACATTAGAAAGACTGGGCAGTTTTTGAAGAATGGATTTTCGCATCCCATTCTAGTGTGCGTGGTTTTGTTTTCAGAAACATCAAAGCTGAAATAATTGGAACTTTATCAAAATAATCATAGTTTGGTTCTGATTAGAATTGTTTCCCTGTAGGGCAGGGAGGGGTGAGCATTTTCCTCCTAAGAGCCTTTACAAAGGCTAGTGATGGGTCAGGGCCTGTTTATTAATGAGATTGGGGCAAAGCCAAGGCAGAGAGTTGGGTCTTTGAACAGCAGTCCCTATGGCCAAGCTGGCATCGCCTTTTCTAGTTTACTAGCATAGTGGTGCCCAAATCTTTTGGTCATGTAAACACTTTTCTCCACGGGACTCTGACTCTGTTCCTAAGCATTGTGAACTCACAATGTTATACCTTCTTTCATCTACTTTTATTGCTTGGGTGTTTTGTATAATGTAGTAGGTTTGGAAATAGAGAGTTTCAAAATTTGTTTTTTAACCAGAGTTACACTGAATTTAAATATTGTGGCATGGGCTTTCAAAAAAGTTTAAAAAATACTGTTTTTGTGTGTGTGTGTGTGTGTGTGTGTGTGTGTGGAATCTCTTTGATTTTGTGGAACCCTAGGTTTGCATGGAACATAGTTTGGGAACCACTGCCCTAGCATTCGTATGCACATGAACACTATGTTTCTCTCTCATACACACACCTTCCTATAGTAATGCAGGAATATGAAGATTTTAATTCTCTGCATGATAAAAACACATTGGTCTTCCTGTAGTGCTGGTCAGGTGGGTAGGGGAAGAATTAAAGAATTTAAATGAGGATGAGTCTTTCCGTATTTGTCTTTTCTACTGAGGGAAACGTGATCTATTATGTTGTTGTTGTTGTTACTGTTACTACTACTGTACTTTTAAATGCCCCCTCATCAGTGTGGGAAGCAATTTTGCTATGTTTTGTGCCCCAGGGCATTTTAACCTTTGGTGTCGGTAGGCAGACCTCAGCACTACATAGAGAGAGCAGCATGGCCCCTCAACCATGGCAATTGTCCACCCCAACATAAACTCAGAACGATAGTTTAAATTGACAATAATGGTTTGATGAACTGACAGGAGCACATTGGTGCTGGGGAAGATGGTGCACGCAAAAAAAAACTTTGTCTATTTAAATTTTGCTCCATTTGGCAGACCAAGTCATCTGTGATTGTGCCATTTAGAAAACATCAGACTTCTATACTTGAAAAAGAAGACTAAAGCTGGCTTGCTTATTTTAATATGCATTTGATTTTCACTAATATGATTAATATAAATAAAAAACCCCACCAGTCTTTCTTTCCCTAATCATGTAAATATTGGTAGATTTGGATTTAAAAATAAACTGAAACTAGATTCTCACCCATGACAGATTTCTACAGATTTATAGTTTTTATTTTTCTTAATCGGAAATGGTTAAACTTTCAAAAATGACATTTTCTTTTAAGGTCATGTTTCAAAGTATTCCTTTGGAATAAATGAGTAGGGTCCAAAAGCTTATTGTTTTACTTGCAATATGTTACCATCATGAAGTCTAGAAACAATTCTTTATCAGGCATGAATTCAGATGTAAAAGAGTTCCTGAAATTACATCAAAAGAGACACGATGGCTGTTTTTTTTCTTTTGGAAGATTGTATGAGAAAATATGGATAGCATTAAGAGTTTTCAGAAGTGAAGGAGAGAATGTTGGAGCATAATTTTAAAGTGTTTTGATTTGTTTTTTTATTACTTAGATGCCAACAACACCTTTAGTGGGCAGCAAGAAAAATCTCCAGCCTTATTCACCGACAACAGGAACATGTCAAATGAGTCCATTTTCAAGTCCCAGGAGCAATAATGTACAAGAGCACAGAAATGGCCTATCAAATGGTTAGTTGAACATTCTCTTCTACTTATTGCAGAATTTTTCTGGTTATTGACCAAGTAAAATTCTTGATCTGTAATTTATATCTTGGGCAGTAGCCCCCCCCCCCCCCCGAATATGAATTAGGATCTTTATGAGAAAGTTAAAGCTAAGAAGACGTATTTAGACATCTCTTCTATGACTGGTTTTGTTCCCCAGAAAATGAAAACCTAATTGATAGACTTTTTTCTGAAAAGAGTGGTCAAAATTTGCTAGTCCAGATACTTTTTGTTCTTACCATTTACAATTTGATCCTTTCTAACAAGTTCAATGTTGGCATTTTTAAATTAAAGAAGGACTATGCTGCTCTGTAATGATGTCGAGTTATATTTTAATAATGTCCAGCATTGCATTAATTTATTGGCACATCTGTTACTGGGCTTGTGTAAATCATGTAACCTTTCATGGAAGGTCTATATCATTATATATGCACAATTTTGCCAGTTTTATGCAGGTTCTTTCCAATGAATAGTTGTACTATATTGTGACATAGAATTGTGCAGAATGAAGGTAATTTTAATGTTGTCTTCTACAAGAAGACTTAATAATCCATCAAGATTTAAACTTTTATGTATTTATTTTCATCACTGTGTCTTCATTTGTCTTGAAAGAGGCATTTAAATGTTTACTTGATTGCTTGGTATTTATTTTATTCCCTTTCAAAATCTTAATTGAGTTGAGACGTAGTATTGGTGAAATTCTAAAGCAGTGGTCCTCAACCTGCACTACATGTACCAACAGTGGGATGGAGATATTTTATTTGGAAAAAACTAAAATCCAATGATTTACAGCATTTTAATTTATATTTTTATGTTGTATTGCTACTTTACCAATAAAATTCATGTCCAACAGTTTCTTACCGTTTTTCACTATTAATGGAATGGAATATTTAATTTTTAATGTTCTTTCCCAACAATACTATTACTCTTTTAAAAATTAACGTAAGTGATAAATTTAATAGTACCTCTAAACAAATTTCCTTCTTCCAAAAATTGGGCTTACTGTTTGTATCATGTTGGAAACAGAGGCAGCCCTAGGTAATTTTCAACAGTAAGCAAACAGTATTTTGGCGCCCCCCCCCCCCCCAATCACTGATATACATATTTTCTGTTCGTCGTGGGAGTTCTGGTGCCATATTTGGTTCAATTCCATCATTGGTGGAGTTCAGAATGCTCTTTGATTGTAGGTGAACTATACATCCCAGTAACTACAACTCACATATGTCAAGGTTTATTTTCCCCCAAGAGCGCCTCAAGAGCACCCCTGGGCAAAATCAACTATACTGCAAATGCTTACTTTGTGTAATGGGTTGAACTGCCCCTGGTTGGAAACAAGATTGTTCAACAGCGTAATCAGTTTGATTAGGATAAGTTAAAAAAAAAGATTGAAAGACACGACTCTAAAGTATATATTTTTGAAGAAATAGCTTGCTGTTATGGATGTAGAAGCTTAAATGTTCTGGCTGAGACGCTTTGCCACATGGTCACACTTTATCTGCAAGCAATTACTGGTAGTTAAACTCCTTTTCTTCTAAATGGAAAAAACTCAGATGGGAGTCTGCTGGAGTGGAAAACATTTCATACATAAGCTAGATTTCTTTAGTTGTCTTTGAGTTGGTAGAAGCAGTTGCACTTTCAGTATCCTATGTATAGTCTTATCAATTAGTATCAGTAAAGCTCTATAATGAAAAGGACATATAATCATGGGGAGAAACATTTAACTGTATCAAATCTGTAGTATACCAAAGTCAATTAGGTTTGATTGGCATAAATTGTCACATTGCATGGATGGGTTTGGGGTAGATCTTCTCAGCAACACTTAAAAGTATGCCTCAGTTAACAAAGTAGATATATTTCTGGGCATTACTTCTTTAATAGGAGATTCAGTCCCAGAGACAAAATAACTTGGGGGAAAATAGGGATAGATTTCTATAACATAAAAAGAAGCATGTTTCAGCAAACTTTCTACTCAAAATGAACAATATGCGCAAATGAATTTGAAACAACTTGGCCAGGCAAGCCTTGCTTAAGTAAATGAATTCAAAAAACATGGACATGTTAGTCTGGAATATCAGTATGCAAAGGGATATTTAGCACTATAGAGACTAACAGAGAGAATGAACTTGGTAACTAGCTTTCGTAGACTGAGGAAGTAAACTTAGGCTGGATATACAGTGCTAAATAATGCAGTTTAACTTCATTGTCTGGTCAGTATGTAGACCCATATAATGCAGTTCAATGCAGTTCAAACTGCATTATATGGGTCTACTGATCCAGCCTCTGTGTAGATCAAGCCTTACTCTATGAAAGTTTGTTACCAGCTTTATTGTTAGTCAGTCTTCAAGGTACTCCAAGATCCTTTTTGCATACTGTTAAGTAAGCAAAAGCAATGTGAACATTCCACTGACCCCTTTTCAACAGACCAAAATTTATCCAGCTTCAACTTTTCTTATTATTTACATTTTGGTACCTAAACTTATAGAACTAGTTTTGATTTGTTAAATGCTGGAAGTAGATGGTAAGGTGAAATTATCTGTTATTGCCTTTTCTTTGTTTCGTTAATTGTAGTTGCTTAGTAAGGGATTCTGGAGGTAACTGATGTTTAACTTTGCCTTTTGTAGGTGGGCACAAACAGCGATAATAGGATTGACTTCTATAGAATCCTGATAAAACTCAGATCAGACTTTATTGTATTGTTTACTACTGACCGACTGCTACAATCCAACAGTGAAGGTCTTGTTGGAACTCAACCACATCCTGCACTAAGTTTGTAGTCGTCATCAAGGACTTAACATAGATAAGCTGATGAGTTAGTTGACAGGGGAAAGCCCTTTCCCCATTGGTCTGCTTGTCACTCTGTTCTCTCCTCCTATCACCTTTCCTGTTAGACATGTTTCTTCTTCTGAGCATTTGACAAGTCCCTGAGTCTTCCACGTTGTTCTTCTGTGAACATAGAGAGACAAGATGTCTGCTGTGAGTTAGTTGGTTAGTTAGATGCCCGAGCCCCATTTAATTTTCTATCTAGTTATATAGCCCTTTGAATAAAGCCTTTTATACCGTTTAAGCTTGACACTGCTCCTGAATTGCTTAAGCTCATGACTCTACTGTTGGCACTAGAAGCTTCTGATTTGTCGAACTGCTGTTACTTCTGTTGTTCCTGCTTTACCATTTTTGAATGCCTTTTCCTTCTGGGAAATTATCCGTCAACTGCTCTGTGTTTCTCCATTTCGCATACACCATTCTCTAAGCATTGATATTGTTTAAAAAAAAACTTTCCTGCAAATAGAGGACATGAATAAAAGAGATTTGGATGGACATAAATAGACCTTATACAAGGAGCTTTTTTGTCAGATGCTTTGTTAACTGAGGTACGCTTGGATATTCTTGCAGTAGGAAATATTTTGGGTCTTGGATTCATCTTGAATAAGCAATATAAAACCCATTAGTTTTCTAAAATACCTGTTTATGATAGGGATGAAAACTGCTGGAGTTGATTTAGTGGTACAAATAAACACAGCTGCTGCACTTTTGGATTTTCCCTGAAGGCATGGCTTATGGGTACTGTCATGGTGAAACTTCAAAACTTAGCACTACATCGCTGCATAAAAGTGAAGTGACAAGGAGCAACAACTTTTATCTTTACAATGTGCAGTTCTGCAGGTGATAATCAAACCTACTGTAGTCTTAGCACTCACAGTTGTGCCAAAATAAAAGTGTGTTGTCTGATATTACTTCTTTCTACACTATGGCAGTGGCTGCTAATATTCAGGTAAGTCTTTTCTGAGACTACTTTCATTAGGGGAATTATGGGTTTTATATTTAACTGCCACCTTATCATGAGTAGAGGATAATTCAGTGAAATATGGAATGACTCCCTCCTCCCTGGAGAGAATTCATCAGAAATTGAATTTAGCTTTCAAGAAGAAAGAAGTTTCCTATTCCCTATCCTGGCACTAAAGTGTATGTTAATTCTGACAGATCAAGTGATACCGTTCTTCTCCTTAAGTGGAATGTACAAAGAAGGTACGTAGTGGAGAGAACAAGCTTGCTTTGATATCAGAACAGACAGTCCCCAGGTTACGAACAAAATCGGTTCTGTAGGTTTGTTCTTCAGTTGAATTTGCTTGTAAGTTGGAATAGGTACATTTTAAAGTGTAACACCAGCCTATATTTCTATATATTTGCTTTGGATAGCAAAGGCATTTACACCCCGTGGTGTCTGTTTTGCTGCTTGTGCCCCTGTTCAGAAGATTTCACTGCACTTTCTGTCCCTGTGATAATTGGATTTTGAAAAATGTGGCTTGTTGTGGATTGGTTAGAAAGCTTCAGTGGAGACACCTTTCCCCCATGATAATTCTTTTAGGAGTTAAATTCCCTTCCTAGGGATAGATTTCTCTCACTTCCTGCTGTCTCACCCTCGTTCTTAACTAGGAGTAATTTGTAAGTTTGATGTTTGTAACTTGGGGGCTGTGATTGTAATTATGGTATATTTTATTTTTCATTGAGCAATCAGTTCTAACTCAGTTGAGCTGTTTGTTGAGATGGGAGTCTTAAGAATGATTTCCCCCACTGACTTTCATTGTAATCTTTCTTCATGTCTGGCTTATTATTATTCCTTCCCTTATCAGCATTGGTCATGAATAATAATTGATTTGAATTTTTTTTTTATTTTTTGGAGTTTGAAAGAGGCTTTTTTCTGTTCTTTTGCTCTCAATTTCCCTCTGCTAGATACATTTTAAAATATTTGATTATATTTATGGAAGTGATTAACAACTGAATTAAAAAAATATGAACAAAGTTTCAGTTTTCACTTCAGATTCTGAAGACAAAAGTGAGCTGTAAACAAGGTTCAGAACACTGTTTCTAAACAGTTTAGTTTATGATGGGCACTGTCCTTTAAACTGAGGTGCTAATGTTAGGGACCTAAGTCTATAAAACCAAAAAATTTGTCCTTCTTCCAAAATGTC